ATATGTATATATATATTTTATTAATATATTAGAACAAAAAATATTTTAGTACGAGCGTTTTTTTTTGTAAATTTCTTGAACGCGTTATCAATTTATTGGATACGGTCCATTTCACACTGCAAATGCCTTGAAGCCTTCTTTAAATGCCTTCTTTAATTAGTCAATTCGTAAAATTCTTTCTTCTTGTTATCAACTCATTGCGCATTATCAACTAACATTCTATGATCTTATTTTATTAATTTGACTTGTGGCACACGAAAAAAAATTATTTATTTCCAATGTGCAGTGTAAGAAAAAAAGTTTTTATAGAGCCTGTTTTTAATTGAATATTTTGCACTTTTATTTTCTTTTTCTTTTTAATGTAGAAAGAAAAAAAGAAAGAAAGAGATGAATGGTATAAAAGTTCAACTAAAAAGAACATAGTTATAAACCGATATAATTGCTGTGAGAAAACGATCGTCTTAATATACTGCGAGATACAAATCTTTTCTTTAAGTTTATATATTTCTTGCAGACGATGTTCTGACACAACTGTCGAACCGAACGGAATACGCACATTTATTCGCCACAAATAACGAAAACTCGAAGAAGATCATTTGAAAGTGTCTTTTAGAGCCTGATAGTTCTTCTAGAGAACATCGAGGCAAACCTTTCCTTAGTCCCATTTGCTCCACTTCTGTATGAGAAACGTATCCAAGGTGTTTCAAGGATTATAAAGCAAAACTATTTTGTCGTCTACAGAAGCTGCAGTTGCATGTAAGCGGCAATTTAGACAGCTAGCCTGTGTTTTTCCTATAATCTCATAAATTAGAAAAAGTCGAGAATTTAGCGGCTTAGAATTTTAGGAAACTAAAATTCTAAGATTTAAGGATTTTAAATGATCTTAGATTTGATAATCCGTGAGTAATTTAGTTATAAAAGTCCTAGAATCTCCGATATGAAAATCCAAAGATACGCGACTTATCCTAGATTCCGAGAATTTAAAGACTCGAGGATTCCACGATCTAGAGGTCGAACTTTATAGATATCGACTTTAAGATTGAAAGATCCTGTGATCGAAAGTTTGGAAAATGGAAAGCCTAAGGATCTGCAGAAACTATAATCATCTTAATAATTGTACATTTGAAGATAAATTAGTATGTAGAAGTTCGAAGATCCTGTAAGGCTTATTTCCAATTGATCTACGAGTGTCAAATTACGGAAAAGGAAACTGATACCTTGCACTTTTTGATGTACAGTACACATTACATAGCTTACAGTTAAGTAATCCGGTCATTAAGCTTCTTACTAGCTCAAATGAAGTATCCATGACGTAGGGCTTGGACGCGCATTTAAAGAAAAATGAGGACAGGTAACGATATAATTTATTTTTCGACCTAATGGTTCGACACCGCGATATTCGGTGCACATGTACAGACATGCAATTATGCACAGGAATATACATATGCGCTAAATTGTGTACATACTTGTTGCACACTATGAACCGCTTGTATGTAACACATATACACACACACATGTGTAAGAGTAAACGAAAAGATTGGGTGAATCGATCATGTATACCCTCTATGTATGCGCGCGCAAGTGCGTTCATATGTGTACGTGTGTATGTATGTATGTATATAGAAAGAAAATACGTGTATGTATGCACAGTCAAAGCGATTAGCCACTTTGTAATATCTGTATATGAACGAAATGGCCAAAGTTTAACAGCGCGCATTAACAGTCATTCTGAGTTAAAAACAGATATGTTGAATTATAGAACATTTTACTACGACATATGTTGAAATAACAGTATTTATTGAACTGAAATTTTTGCTTTCAGTGCGTTGAATTATTATATTTATCTTTTAGCCAAAGAAACCACTTTGATTTCGTTAAATGATTGGATATAAATATGATTAACAATGATATATTCAAAGTAATGTTAAGTTTTATTAATATCTTTACTATTAAAAAAATCTGTTAGGGACATTGTGACATGCCTATTAGACTGACAATAGGTAATACAAGTTTTTAGTACAAACTAAAAACTACTCTACTAAACTAGACGAAACTCAATAACTTATACAGCGACGTAAAGAATAAATACTGCGGTGGCGGGTAAAGGATCTGCAAATATAATATAAAGATGTGAAATTGTTAAACGTACGAATAAGCGATTTAGAGATATAAATTGTTAGATTCAAAATTTCCATGATACTTGGCAAAACGTGTAAAAGATTCGTTTTCGTTGTTCCATTTCCATCCATCCGACAATTTAGGTAAATAAAAAATGCAAGCAGTATTTATATATTGACGCTTTATTAACATGTAGCTTGACTCAAGATATACTTAAAGAATATTACAATCGCGTGACTTCGGAGTTATTGATAGCCCGTAATTTTCCATCGGAATGACTAGACCGTCGATGTCTGACTTGCGCATGGGTCGGCGGAACATATCCTGCCTCATCGGCGCGTTTATGTTTATCTAACTGAATGAATCGCGAACCAGGTCCACCGCCACCACCATCCAAGCATTCGCAGCTCAGACTCGCCTGATCGAGGTCGCCCTGATACGGTCCCGGTGGAATCAGCAAGCTCTCCGTCGACTTGGTCGGCTGGAAATGTCGGCTAACCGTCGAACTCGTAGTTGTGGAGTATGCAGTACTGCCACTGGCACCACTGCTCTTTCGTTGCACGGTACCGATCGGCGTCTTTGATCTGCCGGTACCACTGCTGTGTGACCCTTTACCAGGACGTTCCGCGCTATGAGTCTTGATGGTTACAGTATCCAGATAACCGTAACCAAAGCCGTAACCTCCGAAGGCTTTGGTGGTCAGATTATCCCAAGATTTAGGCTTAGCGTACTGAAGGCACGGCGGTGGTCGCTGGTGCACACTCGGATCCCAGTATAGAGTGTCAGTACTGAGGCTAGTAGAACAGGAGGCGACGCTATCGGCTGTGGAGACGTCGCTACTGGTAATTGAATGAAGACTATGGCCGGATGTGCGAGAGCAACTGTGAGTATTAGGCTGTGATTGTTGCTGTGACTGTTGATCTCGTTGTCCTTGAATATGATGATGCTGCATATTGACTTGTTGTTGTTGCTGCTGTTGCTGCTGCTGTTGATGGAGAGCCTGCTCATTGCGGGCACGTCGTTGTTTCTCGCGACGTCGACGACTAGGAACGCAATTTGGATCGCAACAGGGGCTGGCAAGATCATAAGCATCTAGACTGACACTGTCAGATTGCTCTCGACGACGATTTGCGCTGGAGATGCAAGCGACGCAGAGATTGTTCTGGGGAGTCGAATGTAGTGATTGTCCTTCACCAGCAGTAGATGATTGTTGTTGTTGTTGCTGGCAGGATTGCTTGTGAGATTTGCTCTTTGCAGGTGTACCCATCATACCATTTGACTGGTGGTAACTGTGACGCAAGGAAGTCACCGCAGATTCGCTTGACATCTTCGAGAGGAAGTGATGATGATCGCTACGAGAACGAGGCGGTCCGACTGTTACGAGGCAAGCGGCACTACGTGGTATAAGACATGATCGCCCATCCGCAAACTGAAAAAAGTTTGATTATTTCGCGATAATGAAAAAATTATAAAATCTTATCATTGTTTGATTTGGAAATTTACGAAAATTATTATAGAATGTTTAGAAACTTTACTGTATGTGTATCGATATTTTAATTCTTATTACAGATAAATATAGATAGCGGCTTACGTTATAAAGAAGAAGATGTTCAGTGGAGGTTGCTGGCCGGCAGCATTGAATCGTGGAAGAGTTGAAGCTAGAAGAGGGCGATGGTTGATTGGGATTAGTGCCGATGGTGTTAGGCGTTCTTTTGCGCGCTGGCAGTGAATGGGTTTTCCATCGTCCCATTAGAATAGACCGTTCTCTTTCGCATAGTCTCTCCAATTCGTTCAGACGAGATTGAAGAGCGCGTTGTAACTCGATATAACGCATATGTAATTCCACCTGAAATCGTACATTTAATTCATCAAAATTCAATTACATTGTTGTTGGACTAAAAAAGATCGCGTTAAAATTACAAGATTATGAAAATTATCAATGACACTCGGGCTTTCGCTTACCTTTCTAACGCAATCTTCGAAGGATACGACCATTCGCATTCTGGTATCACAGTTCTTGATAAAGTTCACCAGCGTTTTGTGATCGGCTCTGTCCATCTCGTGGCCATTTATAGATAGTATTACGTCACCTTCCCGCATACCAGCTTTGAATGCAGGTCCATCATATTCCACGTAATCCACGTAAGTTACCATTTCTATTTCCTGTTCTCTT